TGCAAAACTGAAATGGTCATATGGGATACATTTGGATCTCTGACACATTCCTATGAATGAAACCATAATTTCTTCTCATCCCGTAGGGTTTGTAAGACAGCTACGCAGGGCTTATTAATGGCTGTGGTTCAGGAGGACCACAGAAATCCTGCCAGTGTTGGATGGCGTTCTGTGTCCGAGGTCATGCACTAATTCATTTCCATTTCTGCCAGTTTTAGAGATATACATAAGGAGTATATCTGTTGAGAGGTTGACATGTGGTCGACCCCTCCATGAAGAAGTAATTAGGATCAGATATAAAATGAAACCTACAAAGAAAATCAATCAGATTTCTTTTTATAGAAAAATATATCACTCAATAAACAGCATGAAGTGAAACAAAGAATTTAAGGTTTCAAAATAGTTCAGGAATGATTGGAATTCCACGCTGTAATTTTCGTGTTGGAGTGATGGATTCCCAAATTTTCGATCCACGTGGTAAGTGTTGTCCTCAACATTTTTTTCTTTCTTGTATTCCCATTTTGGAGCAAAAGCATCTGTGGAATCTCATACATAATTACCATTCTGAAAGCAGAGTCCTTCAAATCTAAATTTTAGCACCTATTTACGGTTTTCATTCTAACATATGGTAGTATATTATTCTAGTTCTGTGTAACAGTTTAACCCCCCCAAAATTACAAACAGCGGGTCTACATTAGAACTTGTATATAAATGTCGGGAGAGGGCTAAAAGGATAATAAACAAAGTAAGGACCAAGTAAAATCATTTGCACACCAGATCATATAATGCATGAAGATACAATCTAGAATCAGTCTGCGTAATAAAAAGCTGCTTAAACTAAGATTAGCTTGTGCCCCATTTCATCACCAAAATATTTATCTAGGATCCCTTTGCAAGAATGTTTTCCAGAATTTCTGCAAGAATCGCTTGTTTCTTTTACAGTATTGCATAAGCTTTGAGCATTACTCTCTAATAAGGATGAAATTACCTACACCTTGAGTTTCAGGTTACCTTAGGCCGCCCTGGCAGCTGGCCATGTTACTGGATACTAAACAGACAAGAAACACATTTTTGAATGCCAGACATTGCATTCTATTTAATTGCCTGTCTCGTTTGCACTTACAATTAATTGCAAATAACTATAAGTGTTGTAGTATTATAGAAAAGTTATGAATGGCCTATATAAAAATGTAAAGCTGTCAAATGAATACTTGAGTGTTTGGAAAGTACTGTAGCCAATTATACTGACATTTTTATGAGGAAAAAAGTTTCAGGTTTGTGTTATTACAATTCGGAAAAACGATCATGATACTAAAGCTATTAATGTTACTAAATCTTGAAGAAAAGGCAACTTTGATGACTATGACTTAGACAACTTTGCTCATATTTGAAGAGTCTTACTGCCCTCAGGTGTTCATTAGTCAAAACTACAATTGGCTTTTAGTTTTTACATGAAAAGTAACAAATTAATTTAAAAAAATCAACTGTTATTTGCTAATTTGCAGTTTACTAAAATGTCAAATATTTACATCAGTTCAAAAAGACGAATGAACAACATACAATGGCGCTTTACGATACTGCAGTGATTACATTCAGTGATTCAATAACTTATTGCCTCAACAAAAAACGCCTTCCCACATTTTCATGGTTATTAAAGGGACAAGATCATTTCTGGCTGTTTATGGAAACATCTAAACACGAGGTAGGAGGACCCTTTGTGACTGAGATCGTGGACACCAGTGAAAATCAATATCAATATCAAAAGGAAATTAACAAGAATAGGATTCATTTTAGATAAAATAGTATACAGGAAATGGGACGACAGTACCCAATAGCTTTAATGGCTCTACTCAAACGAACCGCACTAACAGAAACAGAGCAATCGAACCAAACATGACAAGTGTGAAGTCTGTGAACGCACCCTTAAGGTCTGTTGTATGTGACCTACCATGTAGGGGCGCTGTAAACGATGTTTAGAACTTCTGGCCGTACTGGAACGTCGAATTTCTTTTTTGTTCCTGTCAATTTGATGTCTTTCGGGTTTCCTAATCCACGTGGCTTGCTGTGTAAGTAAACAGCTATTGAGCAAAACAGCTATTTGGCAAAATGCTCACAAATCGCTTCAAGTGTATCTATCATGTTTTCATTTTCTGGTATCAGCACTAGACACTGTGGTAACGCAATTGATTCACATACAGGAAGCGCCAGTGGCAGCTCGTCGGGGGAGGTGTGCCTCCCCATAATTTTAAGGTGAAAATGGGAGGAGGACGATTTAATGTTAATAAAATTCACAGTTCATTTCAGTTCATGTCTCAGAATGTGTATTTTTTGTTTGTAATTTCACAGTTGTAATACCATAACGTGAAAGCGCCGCTTTTCTATCGTGAATGTGCCGAATCTGCTGATGTAATTACAACCGCTAATTATAGAGAAGGGGAGGGGAGGCCAGGGGAGCGCGGAGCTCTCGTGCCTCCGTTGGTAAAAAACATTAGCCAATCACCATCGAGTGTTCACTTTCAGCGCTGAGAAGTGTTGAGAAAAGAAACCTCGTAGAGGAGGCTAGCCTCCTTTCTGATATCAACCAATCATCAGAGAGACGTAAATTACGTGATATTAGTTTGAACATCTGCAGCTGCGCTGATAATGTACCAAGTACTTATGATGAGTAGCGATATTGAATATTTGAAAATTGTGAAACTCGTGTATTAAATCAATTCAGTGCACACAGACTGAAGTAGTTTAAGTCTTTGGTTCTTTTAATTGTGATGATTTTGGCTCACATTTAACAAAAACCCACCAATTCACTATCTCAACAAATTAGAATACTTCATAAGACCAATAAAAAAACATTTTTAGTGAATTGTTGGCCTTCTGGAAAGTATGTTCATTTACTGTACATGTACTCAATACTTGGTAGGGGCTCCTTTTGCTTTAATTACTGCCTCAATTCGGCGTGGCATGGAGGTGATCAGTTTGTGGCACTGCTGAGGTGGTATGGAAGCCCAGGTTTCTTTGACAGTGGCCTTCAGCTCATCTGCATTTTTTGGTCTCTTGTTTCTCATTTTCCTCTTGACAATACCCCATAGATTCTCTATGGGGTTCAGGTCTGGTGAGTTTGCTGGCCAGTCAAGCACACCAACACCATGGTCATTTAACCAACTTTTGGTGCTTTTGGCAGTGTGGGCAGGTGCCAAATCCTGCTGGAAAATGAAATCAGCATCTTCAAAAAGCTGGTCAGCAGAAGGAAGCATGAAGTGCTCCAAAATTTCTTGGTAAACGGGTGCAGTGACTTTGGTTTTCAAAAAACACAATGGACCAACACCAGCAGATGACATTGCACCCCAAATCATCACAGACTGTGGAAACTTAACATTGGACTTCAAGCAACTTGGGCTATGAGCTTCTCCACCCTTCCTCCAGACTCTAGGACCTTGGTTTCCAAATGAAATACAAAACTTGCTCTCATCTGAAAAGAGGACTTTGGACCACTGGGCAACAGTCCAGTTCTTCTTCTCCTTAGCCCAGGTAAGACGCCTCTGACGTTGTCTGTGGTTCAGGAGTGGCTTAACAAGAGGAATACGACAACTGTAGCCAAATTCCTTGACACGTCTGTGTGTGGTGGCTCTTGATGCCTTGACCCCAGCCTCAGTCCATTCCTTGTGAAGTTCACTCAAATTCTTGAATCGATTTTGCTTGACAATCCTCATAAGGCTGCGGTTCTCTCGGTTGGTTGTGCATCTTTTTCTTCCACACTTTTTCCTTCCACTCAACTTTCATTTAACATGCTTGGATACAGCACTCTGTGAACAGCCAGTTTCTTTGGCAATGAATGTTTGTGGCTCCTTGTGAAGGGTGTCAATGATTGTCTTGTGGACAACTGTCAGATCAGCAGTCTTCCCCATGCTTGTGTAGCCTAGTGAACCAAACTGAGAGGCCATTTTGAAGGCTCAGGAAACCTTTGCAGGTGTTTTGAGTTGATTAGCTGATTGGCATGTCACCATATTCTAATTTGTTGAGATAGTGAATTGGTGGGTTTTTGTTAAATGTGAGCCAAAATCATCACAATTAAAAGAACCAAAGACTTAAACTACTTCAGTCTGTGTGCATTGAATTTATTTAATACACAAGTTTCACAATTTGAGTTGAATTACTGAAATAAATGAACTTTTCCACGACATTCTAATTTATTGAGATGCACCTGTAGGCTACAGCAGTCGGCTTAATTAAACGGCACAACAAGCAGCTCTCTTTTAACACAGACTTTTAAGAAGGGATGGATGTTTGCTTCAAGTGATAGACCAGGTAAGTGAAATTATATTATTTTGCTGTATGTCGTTTTCTTTACGTTTTCTGACTAAAAGCAACCAAAAAAGCCATTTTAAAGTGGTTAAGCAAATAATAATAATAATAATAATAATCGGCAGGGATCCCAGACCAATACAATTAGTGTGCCTCTATTTAAAAACCCACGAGCCGCCACTGGGAAGCACATCAAGACAATGCATTACCTTTATTTATATATATATATATATTCTACTTCTGAACACATTTTTGTTTTACTGTTTAAAGAGATTGTCATGATATCTCGGGACTGTGTTAGTTATATATTTTAGGGTGTAGGTGTGGTGCTATGAAGAATTAAAAATTTCTTACAAAGTTCTCACATTATAAATTAAAAATGTAATAAACAATTAATAATAATGTAAAGAGTCTAGAGTCTAGCCTTACTGTAGGCCTGATATGTTCTTATTCCACAGGGTAAAGTACACCAAAGTACAGTTGCTTGTTACAACAAAGTGTGTCAATAAGAAAATGGCAACTTAATGTCTACACTCTAACGGTCACAACTGTCACATTCACATATTGAATTGAAAGTACCTCTTAAACCTATCTATTTAAACTGTACAAAAAATACCAAATACAGAGATTGAGCTCTCACTCAAACTGATGTTTCACCTAAATTTTATTGTGTTCTGACACAGTTTTCCCCTTGTTCTCTCTTTTTTTTTCAGTCCGCATTGTCAGCTGATCTAAATAAACCCTTTCCTTTCCATCCTGGTCCTCTATTTGGAGGCGTTTGCACAGAGGAGGTGATCTCTGAGGATGTAGATGTGTTTTGATCTGGGGAAGACTGACGAATGAGGAGCTCCTTAAACACTGAGTGCATCATGTTATGCACTTCCTGCAAGATAGTATGGACAAAAATACACTTTAATAGAGGGAGGATGAAGAACGCATTAGGATTATAAATAAAATTGAAATGTCCTGACCTTATCCACTGCTGTTGAGAGTTCCTCTCTGCTTCCTCCATCGGCAGTGGATCGTCTCATTTGAGGGCTGTGAAAGTTATAAATTGACAGATTTAGTCATTATTCTGTAGATAATAATCTGTGATATTAAAATCTATGTAAAAAGCAAACAAACAATCTAATTACACACTCTAATGTTTTCCGCAGAGCGCCAGGAGAATTTCCGGGCTGTGCATATGGTCCTGTGGGTATTTGTAACGAAACCTTTCCAGATGTGACATGACTCGTCCCGACTCCGGCTTTGTCACTTGTGACCTTGAGCCTAGAAAATGAATACAGACAGAATTATTGTTTAGTTTAGCTAGTTACTGTGCCATTCATTATGCAGTAAGAATTACGTTTAATTTTTTTATCATAATAATTATGTAGTAAGAATGAATAAAGTTCACTTAGATTACATGTTTGTTTCTTTCTTGTATTTATATGGACAGTGTACAAGTCACATGCTAAACCGAACAGTGTACAACAATTGGGTTCCATTAGTAAAAATTCACATTAATTTTTTTCACATTTCTCTATGATTTTTAACAATAACTTAAAAACATTTAAAGACAGACCTTCTGTGAGCTATGTGGTTGCCATAGTGTATTTTTTTGTTTAAGCCATTCAGAATTATTTCAACTTATTTTTTAAACAATTGCATTCAACAGCTGATTCCCTGGTAAAAAAAAAGAACTACCCCTGATTCTGCAAAAAATCTAAACAATCAAATCGTGCCAAATCAATAAATCAAACTCCCTACACTCTCAAAAAACTTAAATGTGAAGCTACTGTATATGCAATAAACATAAAATACATTGTTTCTGTATAAATAATAAATATGATTTTTAATTTGATTGACATTCACAATGCTTCATGGGATTGTAGTTCTTTCCCTCATTAAAGCCGTTAAATAAACGGTCTTGTACTTTTGTCTCCTTGTTCGATTTACAAATACTTTTTTTTTTTTTAACTTCAAATCAAAGTTTGTAATGTAGTAATTCAACTCGTAGCTGGTTGGTTTGGGTCACTGCTTATAACGCTTTAACAACGGCAATAGGACGATAATCATTAAAAGAATCTGGCCTAGTTGTTTTAGGTATTGGAACGATTGTTGAGCTTTTATTGCTCTGTGGTAGAATACTGAATCACTGTGCTGAACAGCTCAGTGGAGTTCTCCATGTACTTTTTCAATCTTCCTTAGATCTAGAGCTGGTACCTGATCTGTGGAACAGCTCAACAATTGTTCCAATATCGGACACGTTAAATACCTCTGTAGGTTGTGTACTTTCTCCGATCTTTTTTATAGTACACTAATGATTGTCACATCATAGTCCACATCATAATAGTTATCTGGTAAAATATGCGGATGATACTGTTCTTCTTTCATTGCTTTCATATTCAGACCAGGAATATGGTCCGGCTTTGCACAATTTTATTTCTTGGTGTAGCGGTATGAAACTAGACCTGAGTGTCTCAAAGACTAATGAGATGGTTGTTAATTTGAGCAGGAAAGCACTTGCACTTAAACCAGTGATTATTAATGGCACACAGGTGGATGTAATTGAGGAATATAAGTATTTAGGGACAATTTTTGATAATATGTTGAAGTTTGATAAAAATACTGATGCTATCATTAAAAAAAATCACACCAAAGATTATTCGTGTTGAGGAAGCTTAACTCTTTTAATGTACAGAGACCCATTCTTAGATCTTTTAATAACTCATTTGTTGAAAGCATTTTGTCTTTCTCTTTCATTTGTTGATTTTCTTCAAGCACAAAAATCATCTGCAAGGTATTGTAAACGTGCTCAAAAATTACGGGTGTTCCTTCACGTAGTCTTGCATCTTATTATGAACAGCAAGAGCTGAGGATGGCACGTAAAATAATGGGAGATAGCACACACCCTTTGTATTCTTATTTTGAGTACCCTGGGCGGCGTTTAAGAACAATTAGGTGTTCCACGAACCGTTATAAATCTACTTTTGTGCCTGATGCAATTCGTTTATATAATAAATATAATTGATTGGTTTATATATATGCAGGCCTATATGTAATGTATTTTGAGTATTTGTATGTATGTGTATTAAGTGTTGTCTCTACATGTGAAGCACCATGACAGTCTGAATTAATTGCCCCATGGGGATTAATAAAGCTCTAAACTAAACTAAAATCCCTATGGTAAAAAGGAATAGAAAAACCAAGGAACCAAGGCCACTGAAAAAGTGGATGGCACTCTATATAATAATAACAGCGCTTTTTTAAAGAATGAACTACCATGTGGTTTTACTAGTACAAAAATCTCTACATGGTTATATAGTTCATGTCTTTACATTCAGTGGTTCACATGAAACAATCTGTGAGTGTTTTACCGTGTACTTTGCTCTGCTTTCTGCTCTTCTTCTGTCTGCTGTCTGCCACAGCTGGATTTCAGAGTTTGCTTCCCTTTCTGATCTTGGCCTCCATCCATGCTGAACAACATAGATTGAGAGGACTGAGAAGTGTTATGACGCTCCAGACTGTGGCTGGTAGTAACTGATTGTGGCATTGACTCAATAGTGATAAGTCTGTTATACCTACCTAGGCACACTGATATATTTATTCGGGATGAGACCCTTTGTTCCATTCAGCTCCCCTCTCCACCAATCAGAGGAGGCTTTGCTGTGAAGGATGAGACAGTCTCCATGTTTAAAGGACAGCTCAGCAGAAGAACGGCCTTTGTAGTCGAACAAGGCCACTCCCTGCAGCTCTGCACATCAAAACAGACCAAAAGGAATTAGTTAAGTTCTGCTAGTCCAAATGTTGATAAGTAAACCATGTTAACCATACCGTCTTTTGCTTCTTTCATTTGAGATTGCTCTGATTCTCCATCTCCTTCCTCTGCTACAGCCTCACTATAGACATGAGAAATATCAAGTCATTTCAACTATAACGCTTTTCAAAATACACATTGTTTCAAAGCAGCTTTACCAAAAATCATAATGTTTATACTATGTTAGCACATGTTCTTAGCACATACTATATGTGTGAGTGTATGTATGTACAGTGCACTACAAGGATGGAGCTTAATTCTTACCAGTCGTCTTCTTCCAATGCCATGCACTTTTCATACACTGGCCCAGGCAATTCATTCTGGCTAGGGAAGATGCTCTCGTGTTGGATAATGATGCTCTTGACCAGCGAGTTGATGCGCTGAAGCTCTGCTGCATCGCTGTTGTCTGGCCCCCTCACCAGACTGGGACCAAAACACACTGCCAGGTTATAGGGCTGCATCATGTTCTCATCACTGTACTGGGAGACACTTTACACACACGTACAGACATTCAGATGTGGGGGTTTTGTGATTGAAAAAGGGCAAAACCCAATGACACAGTGTAATACTCACTGGTGAAGGAATGCAAAAAGATATCTCATGACAATGATGAGCGAGGCAGGATATGAGGAGATGATGCACTTCAGCTGCGTACATTTTTTTGTCTCGTCATCAATTTCTGTAAGGGAGGTAAAGTTAAAGATTCCATAAAATTAGTTAATTGCCGTTACGTCTAGAAGTCGACAAAAATAAACTTAGCAGATATACATTTAAAACGGTCAGCCTTTTTCTTTGAACAAAATATTGACTTTTGTCTAATAAAATGCTCTTTAAAATAAGAATCAACTGCCAATAGCTAGTAGCAAATCAATAATAGCAAAATCAGTAAGTATAGCTATTTTTTTATTTTTTTTATTTGGGACAATATAAACATATTTAGAAAAATATAAGTACTAGTACTTATAATAAAAAATTAAGTATAAAATATAACTAGCAATATATATATATTCACAACATATTTTTGGCCATTTTTTGAAAATTATATTTTAAAATATATCTGAAAATCTCTTTTTTTTTAAGTATGGAAAACAAAGAATGATTTATAAGTTTCTTTATATAACAGAATACGCTATCCATCAAAAGCTTGATGTCAGTAAGATTTTTTTTCTTATGCTCACCAAGTCTGCATGTATTATAAATATACAGTAAGACAATAATATTGTGAAATATTATTACAATTTAAAATAAATGTTTTCTATTTTAATATAATTGAAAATGTAATCATTTCAAAAGTTGAATTTTCAGCATCATTACTCCAGTCTTCAATGTCCCATGATCCTTCAGAAATCATTCTAACATGCTGATATGCTGCTCATGAAACCTTTTTTTATTATTGTCAATGTTAAAAACAGTTGTGCTACTTGATATTTTGGTGTGTTTTTTTCTTTGATGAATAGAAAGTTCAAAAGAACAGGTATTATTTGAAACAGAAATCGTCTGTAACATTATAAATGTCTTTACTGTCACTTTTGATCAATTTAATGCATCCTTGCCGAATAAAATCTTACTAATGGTAGTGCACACCATAAAGCAATTTTGCTGGATTTTTAATCATGCATTAGAGGTAAACTAAAGGCTACTGTCTAACTAAAAATCGGCCCTGCAATATGCCCTGCCCTTCCTGTTTAAACAGAAAATCTTACCACAGGAAAGAAAACATACACACAGTCAACATACAAGCATACAAGCACATAATAGTGTTGTAATGTGCTCTTACGTCCACATTCCATCAGCTGCTCATAACTGTCCTCAAGAAAGAGCGGTTTCATTAGTCCTCTAAAATAAAGTTTCAGCACTCCAGCCACAGAGTCCATGTCACAGCCCCCATCAGCGAGCGGGTCATCGCCTATGAATAAATACAAAAATCACAGCCTATTACTAATGCTCAGAGAAAGGGAGGAAAATATCATCACCCACTGCTCATACCATTCTCAAATGCATCCTTAAGCTGATTCACAACCATTTGAGATCCCGGCACTCTGAACAATCCCTCATGATGTAAACCTTACCAGAGAAAAAACAGTGATTAAGATAGAAAGAATGGTAGGAAGAGGTGTTATCTACTGACTTAGATTTACCATTGAGGTTGATGAACCGAATGCAGCTCTCCACCACGGCAGGAATGAGCTGTCCTGATGCCTAATGGGGAGGAAACACAGAGTGAGTCAGTTGCCTTGTACTGTTTTGTGTGAATCCAGAACACCTCCTGAATCAGAGAGATTTACTTGGATGTATGATAGTAGATCCCCATTGAAAAGCTTCTGGCTGATCTGGGTACCAGGGTAACTCTTTTTATGGCGCACCGATCTTTTGGAGCGTGTTCTAAATAAACAGAAATGTTTAATTATAGACATCACCAAAAATAAAAAAAGGCATTTTCTGCTCTTGCTACCCCAATAAAATGTAGGAATTTTCGCAAATATTTTTACAGAACATAATATATCTATTTTAAGCTTTAGCTTCCTTACCTGGAATGGTTACTATCAACACTTTCAGCTGATAAGAAAAAGAACCAGAAGAACAAAATTGAAGAAATTATTTCACTTGGTTGTGTGGTATTGCTTTTCTGTAACAATTTCTGTAAAAATAGGAGACATTATTCCACCTTTCTGAATGGCAACCTTTAGCAGGTCATGTTTGGCCTCCAGTTTTGATATTAAAGAGCTGTTACATAGATGGTCCCGGACTTTCTGTAATATAAAGTCACATGAAAATGTCAGAAAAAAAAAACAGCAATAGAAATGGAATACTACTAACTACTACTACTGACAATATACATATATATAGAAAATTATAGAAATATGATAATAATTATATTATTATATATTAATAATTATATAATAGATATAATACAATATAAGAATGTTATTTGTTTAATTTTAATAGTATATTATAATAATTATAATTATATATATATATATAATATCACTGTTTATCAACAAAATAAACATTTCTTATCAATGTTGAAAAATGTTTTGAAAAATATTTTTGTTGGAAACTGTGATGCATTTTTTCTTTGATGAATAGAAAGTTCAAAAGAGCAGTATATAAACATAATTTAATATATTATATTTTTTAATAATAATAATACCAATAATTTTATAAAATAAATGTTTGATTAGATTAGAATAGATTAGATTCAACTTTATTGTCATTGCACATGTAAGGTACAAGGCAACGAAATGCAGTTAGCATCTAACCAGAAGTGCAATAATCAGTAAGTACAGGACATACAGTGTCTACAATATGTTACAAATGTACAATAAATATACAGATACAGATAAGGCAGTACTATGGACATAATTTACAGATATTTAGATTAGATAGATAGATAGATAGATTACCGAGAAGTACAAACTCTCAGTGTCCGGAAGGCTGGCTCTACGCTTCAGCTGATACGTCTTACTGACTGATACATCACCCTCTGGTGATGATGGGCTGCTGGGAAAGTCTGGGGAGGATCCAAATGTGTCCTCGACAATACCATCCAGCATGGAAGACAGAGCTGACTGAAGTAATTTGCCAGACTGCAATATATTTTATGTATATTCATGTTTAGACAAACCCAATTTCTAAGGAGTACACAAAAATACAGTATTCAATTATCCAAATATCCCGACATTTATCCTATTTTTAGTAGTAGTGCCACATAATATGTGCTGCTATGGGTTTTGTGTACCTCCTCAACCTCCATGGTGACTGAAGACAGCCTGGACTGCAGCTGATGGAAGCGAGTCACCAGCTCGCCCAACATCTCACACTTTGCTGACACCTCAACCACCTGGAAGAAGATACATACATAAGCAACCACACATTTCTCCACTTATACAGATACATTTTATCAGGCAGTACCTGGTCGCCTTCATAGGGTTGATACTGAAAGCGGAGGGGCAGGCAAAAGGTTGAGATGTTGGCCTGCATGAGCGTGTCTCTGTCCTGGTTCTGGTTCAGTTCTGACACAGTTGTGTCCAGCTGCTGCATCCCAGTGCTCAAGTTCTGCTGGGCCCACTGGCGACTGGCCAGGTAAAAATGAAACACCTTGGATATGGACTGGTGGTAACCCAGATCACAGCACTGAGAGGGCATGCAATGAGAGGTTGAGTTAAACCTGCTCAGTATTGAAACGTGATTGTATAGCTTGAGTGTAATGAACTCACATCTATGAGAGTGGAGAGATCCTGAAGGTAGTATTTGTTCATGCACGCATTTGCTGCAGCCAAGTTGAGCAGGTAGTCATTGCGTGCTTTTGTGCACTTTAGCTGAATCTCCTGAACCTTACATTGCCTCTGTGCACAGATAAAGAGATGAGATGTAACCTCAGATGTTACTGGAACAATCACTTATCCACACACATTTAGTGAGTCACAGTTCAAATCTCACAAGGTGACCACAATAACCAACCGCTGTGATCTATATTCTGCCAACCATGTGCAGCGAACACTTGCCCCACATCACTCTGCACAGTGGAGGATGCAGCTCATGTTCATGTAGGCAAAACACTGTAACACTCTCTTGCTCCCTTGATTCTGTAACCAGTCAGATTTTTTGTGGCATAATGTAAATTAACATAAATTTTGACATTCCTAATTTTCTTTAAAAACAACATCAACTAAATAAAAAAAATAATAAAACAAATCATGGCCATGAATTCACTAATATGAGGGAATTAATTCATCATTTGTGGCCACAAATTAAGTTTTATTTTATTTCACAGTTTTCACAAAAATATTGAGCAGAACAACTGTTTTCAACATTGATAACAACAAGAAATGTTAAATATTGAGCACCAAATCAGCATATTATAATGATTTCTAAAGGATCATGTAACACTGAAGTCTGGATTAATGGCTGCAAAAAATTTGGCTTTGCCATCAAAGGAAAAAATTACATTTTAAAATACAGAGAAATAGAAAAGTTATTTTAAATTGTAATAATATTTCACAAATTTTTTTTTACTTTAGTTTTGATTAAGTAAGCATAAGAAAAAGTTACTTCTTTCAAAAACTTTTATAACCTACCCCAAGCTTTTGACTGGTAATATATATATATATATATATATATATATATATATATATATATATATATATTACATGAGAAAAATATAGTGAAAAGAGAAAATTATCTCTTTTTTTTATGATTCCTAAATATACCTTAATTATAACCATTTCAAACACATCTATTTCATATGTTGGTATTAAAAAGTGAGTTATACTTTCTCTATTTGTCTTTCCATCTTTTTAGAAGCACTTTGCTTTTGCTTTTCCTCCAGTCTGACTGCCTCCTTTAGTTTGCCTTCTGCAGACAGGAACTCAGTGTAGTACTGGTAATATGTCTTCAAGGTCTGGTTTCCAACAAACACAGGAATGAGATTTGCAGTGACATTTTACAATCCATTAAATGTAAATTCAAGCAAACAGCGTTTCTGAAAGAAAAATGTGGCTTGATGAGAGGAATGAAGAGTTAAACTCACCGTATGAAGTTCTGTGGTGACCTTCAGAAGTCCATCCTGTAGCTGGGTGCAAATGTCTCTGCTCTGAAAAACATAAATAATACAAAAACAGAAAGATAAATGATCATTTTAGCAACTGTGTATTACAATGTCAGGCGAGTGGCAGGTGACTATGCCAAAGGTGTTGTATGTCTGTGCACTGTTTGCAAAGTATCAGTGCAAAGGAAGCCACATGTATATACGTGGGCATGTTTGCTCCTTCAAGTCTAGTAATGTGTGGGTGCTTATTTTTGCAAATGTGGAAGGATGTGAAAATGTGTGTGTTTGTGCGTTTGTTTGTTTGTGTGTGTGTGTGTGATGGTGGGTGTGTACCCGCTTGGCCAGGCGTTGGGCATGTTCAGCACAGTGTGAAAGCTGCTGAGGCAGAGTGTTACTGTAGCTGTCACTCAAGAAACTGTGATCTCTGCTCTCCTGCCGTGTTTGTGTCAACAACACCTGCCAGCAGTTAACCACTGACTGATGGCTGGGCTCCTTCCTGAGGGGCAAATGAACAGAGAACTGAGTTATCAAGTTCCTGGTAAGATACATAGCCATACAGGCAAATACGTTTTGCCTGAAATAAAATATATACAGTACTGTTTAAAATTTGGGGTCAGTAAGGTTTTGTTTTTGTTTATTTTTAAATAAATTAATACTTTTATTGAGAAAGGATGCATTAAATTAATTAAAAGTGACAGTAAAGTCATTTATAATGTTACAGTTTTCTAGTTCAAATAAATGCTGGAGTAATGGCTTGAAATAATCCCTGGAATAAATTACATTTTAAAATACATTAAAATAGAAAACAGTTACTTTAAATTGTTATAATAGTTCACAATATTTCTAATTTTACTGTATTTTTAAACAAATACATGCAGCCTTGGTGAACATACAAGACGTCTGTCAGCGTTTAGTAACACTACAATAATTTGTTAACACTGGCTAATGCATTAACTAACATTAACGATGAGCAATACAGTTGTTACAGTATTTATTAATCTTTGTTAATGGTAGTAAATTAAAATGCAACCGTTCATTCTTAGTTCATGTTAGCTCAGCTACATTAAATAATATAACAGATACAACTTTTGATTTCAATGTTTTACTAAATGTTGAAATTAACATTAACTAAGATGAATAAATCCTTTAGAAGTATTTTTCATTGTTAGTTCATGTTAACTAATGTAAACTAATGTTAACAAATTGAACCTAATTAATGAGCAATACAGTTGTTACAGTATTTATTAATCTTTGTTAATGGTAGTAAATTAAAATGCAACTGTTCATTCTTAGTTCATGTTAGCTCAGCTACATTAAATAACATAACAGATACAACTTTTGATTTCAATGTTTTACTAAATGTTGAAATTAACATTAACTAAGATTAATAAATCCTTTAGAAGTATTTTTCATTGTTAGTTCATGTTAACTAATGTAAACTAATGTTAACAAATTGAACCTAATTGTAAAGTGTCACCAAACTTTCTAACCAACCCCAACATTTTGATCGGTAGTATAGAATTATATATATAATATGTTTTTGAGTAATTCTTGCTTGAAAAATGTGTTTGGGCTATCTTTCTTTAAAATAAATTGTGACCCTGGACCACAAAACCAGTCATAAAGGTCCATTTATTATTTATCTGAATAAATAAGCTTTCCATTGATATATGGTTTGTTAGGATAGGACCATATTTGGCCGAGATACAATTATTTGAACATCTGGAACCTGAGGGTGCAAAAAAATCTAAATATTGAGAAAATCGCCTTTAAAGTTGTCCAAATGAAGTTCTTAGCAATGCATATTACTAATCAAAAATTAAGTTTTAATATATTTACAGTAGGAAATTTACAAAATATCTTCATGGAACATGATCTTTACTTAATATCCTATTGATTTTAGGCATAAAAGAAAAATCAATAATTTTGACCCATTCAATGTATTTTTGGATATTACTACAAATATACCCCAGCGACTTAAGACCGGTTTTATGGTCCAGGGTCACAATTCTTCTTACATGGTTTTTAAGGGTGGCATAAGTGCCCAAATTTTGTCACTATTTGGGACCATTGTACATACAAAATGCATTCATAGGTTAAGAAGAGTTTTTCATGCATTAATGGTAATATCCTCACTTCCTGGTTCTGGAGGAGAACCTGTCACACAGTTTGTCCAGTGAGCGGGCGTACTCCCCCTCGATCTCGCCTCGTCTGCGCAAATAATCGATCAGATCTTGGAACACCTGAGTCTTCTGCTCCACCTGACCGTCAAATATCCTCAACTGGTCGGCCAGCTGCAAACGCACCTCTAGAGAACAGAAAGAGAGACAGCGCAATTACATTTCTATAGTTTCACTCTGTATATCGGTTTCATTTGACAGGTGTCCAATAACAATTCACTGGAACATGTTGGCTTCACAAAGTTTAACAAGACGAATGGCAATAGATAAACATAAGCTAACAATGACAAATACTTCTAAAGCATCTATTAATCCTAATGTTAATTTCAACATTCAACAACATTTACAAGTTGTATATCTGTTAATATTATTTAATGTACCTGAGCTAACATGAACCAAGTATGAACAGTTGTTTTTTTAATAACTAACTTTAACAAAGATTAGTAAATTGGTTATCTGTGATTTCGGAAGCACATACAAAATTTGCAGCAGAAACTGATCAGCAAATTTCATAGCATTGGAAAGGAATCATTTTGGGTTTCCATTGCTCAGAAATCTTAAAGGGTATTCAATATTAGGACGTCCGTTACCTTTAAACTGTGTATCATAGTCTGCCGTCCCCACTCTGTCCCTCCACAGTTTGACATGGGATGACATTGTAGCTCCAGCTAGGTGAATGAACAGAAGCCATGTAGAAGGTTAAAGAATGTACTTGAAAAAGATTTTCATTGGCACTTCATGCTTTTAATTGTATATTTTGACCCATTTTGACCAATCTATATGACTCACAGAAATGAGAAACATGTACATTGACTTTCAATGCAGACTAGTGCCAAGATCAATCACAAGATCAAAACTATATTCAAATTTCTTTGGCTTTAAGTTCATTTGGACTATAACAATCACTCAACTTGATTTTTACACCTACTTGTACAATACCACAAGTACTGAGGCAATCAAGCAGCAAGTCTATAAACACTCTCAGCAGTTAACATCATATAAAATGTCTTGTATAATATAAGCAGATTCAAAAGAAAAAGAAAAACTGAGAATTATTAAGCATATATATTCTCCAAAACAACTTCTGCACTCATTCATCTGCTCATTGTAGGAGTGTCCTTATTCAACATGTGACAGCGGTCATTCGTCATGCTATGACCTACAGTCCGGTGGATGTAGAGTGAACTGTTCAATTTCAGTAAACAAATTGCACATCTAGGGTGTCAAAAAAGGGGAAGGTAGCAGACTTCCTGTGTTAAGAGCAAACTAGACAGCAGCAGCACACTCTCACCGTGAGTCATGACAACAGGCCACCCCCTCAGACTCTCTCCTTCTATCATTCTTCACAGAAACTTCCCCATTCACATCCCATGTAAATAACCAAATGCTCACTGAAATAATTGCTTTCAGATCTTCAAATGTTAAGACATATTCAGAAATTAAACATGCATGTTTCCCAACAACAAGCCAATTTTAATACATTTTCTTGGCATATGATTTATCTCTTTCTACTCTTGCTGCTCTTTGCTTAGGTTACAACTCTGTTTTTCAGTTACTTTAGCAATATGTGTGAAAAAATACGTTTAATATATATCATAAATTATATTTTTTGTATTAACCAAAAGTAACGTATGAAAAAAATGACAAAACAACACGTGCAAATTGACAACTACAAAAGTAGCAAATATTTTACACAATAAATCAACAAAATCATGCTATTTTTGCATTTGTACGTAAAACCACAACACTTGCCTTAGTATTTCCTGCAGATGTTCACACTGGCATTCTCAATAAATCCTCATAAACAACTTCCACACTCCTTTACTATGGCTTGTCCAAACCAAAGCCCAGAGAAACTGTCTTTCCCTCGCACAAGCACGGTGAGATACCAAGAAAGACAAGAGTGTTCTCCTCCTTCCTCACTCGGTCACTGTGTGCTGAGAGTAAGTGTACTGAATGCTGAGTAAAACCTCACATTACTGGCCCCTCCTCCCTCACTTGTGTCTTCTCACTTTCACAAACACTATCTTTTCAATTTGGATTCAAGCAATCATTTATCTGAAAGGCTTTATTTGGGGTCAACACACCTCAGTAATGGCTATTGGTCTCCTGTGTCATTCTGAAAGTAAGTGGCGGCTTCCATTGAAGATCTTCCCACACAGGCCAACAATAACAAGGTTGCTATGACAAACATAAGTAGTGGAAAACGCTTTGATTCTGATGCATCTAAAGTGCCATGACCCTATAATAAGCATTATGACCTTTCTGTTTTCCTCCTACAGAAGCTTGTATGGATCAGATTGCATCACATGTCATTTTAGTTCCCTTACTCTGATGCATTGTTCCTATTTATTTAATCCATCCTAAGGTATGAAGCACAAAACAAGGAAATAAAAACAGAAATGGCGCCAACCTATTACCAAGTTAGTAAATAACTCTGTCAAAATTCACTTTACTATTAAGCATGTTAGGCCTAGCTTCACTTTCACATTCTCACGAACTGTTCTTTTGCTTATATGTTTTCTTGGTGTTAGTGTGTGAGGACCTATTCATTTCCTTCCTCTCCTGAGTGTCTTATCTGTTTCCCATGATAAATCTAAACGAGTCTGTTTGCCACTGTATTAGACTCATTATTGGAACAATAATTTTCATTTTATATGTTTGTCTTTTATTCACTATAAAAGACACACCGTATGCAACTGGATATTACTTAAGAACACAGTGTGACAGTTAACCACAGTCAAATACCACAACTGAACCACAAGTGCATTAAAAGTCTATTGTCCTCCTACTGCTGTGCACTATACAACATTAAAAAAAGAATCAAATTGCACTTATAAAAATAACAAGTTACAAGTTATTAGTGGTTTATATTTGTGAAGTTTACCTTCTGCTTGCAAATTTAGAATTCTAATAATAGGATTATGTTAAAAACAAAAACTCTTGTCAAACGTTCTGATCACATGGTTCAGTTTATGAGGTATAAAACGACAAATATGCCTTAATCACATTATATCAAGTACATGGTAGTGTTCCCACTGCAGCAAAACAAACAAACAAAAAGAAATCTTCAAGTGATCATGACTGTGAAGACTGAAAGTAGAGAAGTTTTCGGAGGAAGTTCAAAGATCCGGGCATTTGTTTATACAGGCCTTTGGCAGATATTTGGGAGACCGCATGGTTTACCTAAAGAAAATAGATATTTAATACAAACAATTTATTTTAATACAAAAATATTAAAATATATACAATTTATAAATATAATTATCTGTGCTTGAAAGTCAAACCAAAAAAATATATACATATTACATTGGCATGCATAGTGCCTGTTTTTGCTTAACTAACTAATCTAACTAGTCTAACTTGAAATATGTGTAGCTTGAATTATTTTTTTTGGACACAAAATTAAGGCTGCGTTTACACTGCAGGGCTTAATGCACAAATCCGATCTTTTGACCATATCCAACTTTTTGTCCCACCTATTTACACTCACTTAAGTCACGACTCATATCTGATACTTACTGTACATTTACTGTATATGAGTCCCTACTTAAACTAGAATGATTCCAATGGTGATCTCATTCAGCAACACAGTTGACCCTTGGGTTTTGAACAGCTGTATATAAAAATTATTTATATAATTTACATGGTTCTTTGACTTTACTGCACACCGGCTGTGATTATCCCGCTTATACCATGATCACTTGCCAGCCAGCAGTTAAAGCTGTCATTGATGTTTACAGCGCAAAATTTCACTGAATGGATTAAAAGTTATTTTAACTACAGGTCGTTGGATCTAGAATTCTGCTGTGTGATAAAATAATATTTGTTTGAAAAAAATTGGCAAAAAGAGATAATGCGTGTAAATGACCTGCACCTATGCCACCTCTCTATAGTAAAGCTGTGAGTTTAATTACATAAAAACAGCAAAATTATCATCATGCTGAAAAATATTAATGTAACTATTAGTAGTGAAGATTTTATTTATAAAATTAGGGGGCAGCGGCTCAAAACAAGTTTGTTTCTGTGTGTGTGTGAACATTAAGAAAAGTTATAGTGGGCAAATATGTCTCCCTCGCCTTGTGATGGCTTGGAATTCCAATAGGAATCATATTTTCGTGTTTAGATGTAGGTCAGATGTCCAGATATCAGATATGTATCTGATTTTGAACCAAACCATATTTAGAAGCGGCTCAGAACAGATGCAATCCACTCCTGTGTATTTTTATGCTTAGACGTGTACAATAGCCAATCCGTGTCACAAGTGAGTAAAAAAAAAATCAGATTTTTTTTGTTTCAGTGTAAGCGCAACCTAAAAGTATGAATTAATTTTATGTCTGGCACCAGTGAAAATATAGTACTTCAACTAGAAGAGTTTGTATGTGATGCATTTTGAGGAGCAGACTATAGTTTTTGCTTGGTGATCTTTTTTTTTAAATTATTAAGCTAGCAGAATCTATAAGATCGCAGAATATCTACTGCTTGATATGCTACAGTATGTACCATCATACTGCTCTACCCTAATTGGTAGCATTATTATGGAATTTGGTTCGATTTGGTTTATTTTTTCCATTTTTAAGGACATATTTATTGTATCTATCAGTTGTTTTAAGAAGCTTTACAAGACAAAGACGTACCATCAGCAGCATGGTCCCCAGATCATCTGTGGCAGCATTCTCCTCAAGCACACGATCAAGATTCTTCACATACCAGGATCCGGCCTGCGTGTCCCTCCAGGAGACATAGCCTGCAAATGCATTAGCATGAATCGTCTATTTGTGTTTAGCAATCAAAAGGTTTGTCTTTCTGAAATATTTTTCAACCAAACAATTATTTAAGGTACAACAGGCGATTCCCGTAATGACCAAAGACACAGACCTGGAAAGGTTGAGTAGGACACCAGGATGTCGCTGGGTGTGGGCAAAGTGGCCCGAGCATCAAGTTCATCAGACGTGCTGAGAGAGTCACTGCTGGAGGATATGGGAATAGCGTCCATCTGGTCATCTATCCCAACCAAAGAGGGCTCCACCTCATCTGGAGAAACCTCAAAACCTGTGTCCTTCTCATCTACAGGTGAGAAGAAAAAAGTAAAAAAAAAAAAAAAGCATAATCTGAAAAACTGAGGCACAACCTCAAACATTTTTTATTATTTTTAGGTGTGGTCAACACTGCAAATTGAACTTGAACCAGTTGTGAAATCTGAGTGGGAAAACACTTCATGATGAGCTGTAATACTTATGAAAAATCATGAGATTAGGGTTAGGGTTAGGTTGGCGTTAGCTTAAGCCAGACAGTGATTCAGCTTTTTATACATTTATATATCTTTTCACATATTTATATATTCATCAAAACGCCGCTTTCAGCAGCGTGAACGGCATGGATTTTGAACATGAAAAATTTGCTGAACAACTGTAAATTTGACCACCACCTTTTGGCTACGAGATTTGTGAAAGATTTCTGAGATGCCCACCTCCTCCACAGGCCTGGATGAAGAACAGTTTGGGCTTGCCCTGCAGAGAAGGACAGTTCTGGCCGTTGAAGTAGCTTGTGATTAACTGAACTGGGACAGATGGTCCATCAACACCATGAACTGCTCCAGGAAAACAATTGTTGTTTGCCTAAACATTAGAGAAGTGTCGAGCACCAAAGTAGAATGAGAAAACTGCTCTAATGCTTTTGTAATTGGATAGCTTAATGGTGCTCTACAAAATGAGGAAGCAAATAAAACTTCTTTGCAGGTTGTACTTCTTTGTTGAAAACTAATAGTCTTCATAAATGTGAAAAGCAAATATAACATATATCCTCTTTTTTAAAAGAAATATATGTGACTGGTTTTACCTCAGTACCATGTGAAAGGATGATCACCACACAGCAGTCATACGCGGAATGATCCCTCTTTGCTATAAATGCCATCTCTTGTCTTATGAGCTATAGAGGGGAGAAATGTTCTTATTCATTTTTTAAATATATTAAAGACAGACAGACTTTTATCTTACAGCTTTGTTTACAGTGAGAAGAAGAGGAAGTACTGTGCTTACTTTGTATTTCAAGTTCCTTTTTACAATAACCTCAAAGTTGAGAGCCTTAAATCTTTTCTCCAGCTTGTCGCAGTCAATGTTGGACCCCTTTCGATCTTTTAGATCAGAGGCTGGGTCAAAATCTACATTGTTTATAATCAGGCAGATCCCACATGGACTGGCATCCATCTTATAGCACTGCACAAAAAATAGTAAGTGAGTGGTTAGGTACAATGGTGCAATTAAGATTTTTTTGTTTGTTTTAAAAGAAGTCTCTTATGCTCACCAAGATGGCATGTATTTGATCAAATAAATACAGCAATTTATTACAATTTAAAATAAATACAAAGTTCTGTCATGAAACTTTAGATGGCACAAGCTGATAGGTCCTAATTCAATATAATGACATCATTATTCACATTGCGCAGCTGATTGGTTTTTGTTGCATACGCAGACAATGAGCTTGCTGCTCAATATTCAAATACTTGGCCAGTGTTTGCTGTAGCAATTTGCTGCGAATTTCTGAAACCCTCCACCTTCCCCAGCTCCCCTTGTAGATGTGCTACAAGGTAATTTCATGCCTGTTATATGCGCAGCAACAGTAAGTCTTACATGCTCACAGCAGCATGTCTGTGGATGTATTGGCAGTAGCAAGTCTCGGTACTCGCTCTGCCGCAGCCGCAGCAACAGTGTAGCAGATCTATTACGCCAAGACCAAATACATTAACATTGCCATAAATATTACCATGCTAATCTTTCTGAGTTGCCATGACAGAACTGTTATTTACTATATTTTGAAATGTAATTACTTCCTGTGATGGCAAAGCTGATTTTTTTAGCAGCCATCTCAAATCTTACTGACCCCAAAACCTTTGAACAGTAGTGTTATATATTAAAATATGCTTATACAGTGGGTACGGAAAGTATTCAGACCCCCTTAAATT